TCTTGTACTTGTGGTTTGATTTTATCAATCTCTTGCAGACCGGTTACCATGCTTTGTCTGTTAAGAGAAATTCGAATATTAACCACAAAATTCAATGCAACAACGTTTATGTTGTTGTTATACACAGTATTGTTTACTTACATTTTCTGATTCAAAACTTGGTGTCCTTGTGGTTGAAAATCAGCAACAATAATACCCACTTGTCGTACATTTTCAATGAACATTTCCAATTGCGTTTCGAGATTTTCTAATGCCGATGACGACGACATTGTAAACAATATATACAAATTATTTGGTTTTTAGTCAAAGCGATTTTGTTGCGTTTAGCCCAAATGAATTCAATAAATTGTTTGACACTTGGTGTTTAGCATGAAGTTGTCGTTGCCAACTGTCCGAAATATAGATTGAGGTTATGTTCACTGTCACTGTAGTATATTCATTGTTGATTCATAAACAAATTGCTTTTACCTCATCCAAAAATGAGTTCATCGGCAATCATTGATTTTCGACCAAGTCATTTACTATTGAATCCGAATTTCGATGGATACAAATTGTCATTGGATCCCGTGCCGGTCTTAAAAAATGAATTGACCGCATCGCCACGTCGTATGTTTACCAGCGATGAACAGGTAAAGCCATGAAAAATTCAACCAAAAGATGACAATAATTGATAAATGTATTTATTTTTATGTTATGATGAACAGTACACATTTTTACATGCAAAATTGTTCAGTTTGCACAATCACTTGGTGCAAGATCCATGGATAGAGTGTTCTTGCTATTTCATTGATGAAAATTGGACCATTCAGAATGTGCGCTATGATACACCAACCGGCAAACTGGGAGCAGTCAAAGCCGTTCACAAAGTACCGAAACCGGCAAATACCACTGTCCATGGAGACTATAATGTTACATTGAAATTTGTTTCGGAAAAATTCGCCATTTTTGGTGATGGCTGTGGCGGTTTGAAGATATTCAACACTGGTGACCGTTATCGTGTCGAGGAATGGAAAACAATCTTCTCCGATACAATTCATGAAAATGCAATTCCGTTTGTGATTCAAGATGCACGATGGGAAATCATAAATAATATTCATCAAATCCATTGTTTATTGCTGAGCATTCAACAGAATAAACAGAATGATGATGAGAAATATGAAGCGGTTTTGGATTGGATTGTTGTGAAAAGAGATGCTCAATCAAATACTTGGACCAAATCACATGTGAGACAATTGAAAGGGAAAACATTACCCGAGTACTGCGTATTCGAACCAAAATGCAATGGAATTTTAATATCGGCCGACCAAAAGTTTGAATTTAGCTTTGACAATGAAAATCCTATTGTGGAAAAGAAAGTCGCAGAATCGGTGAAGGAAGAAAATACAACGGATGGTGGCGAAGGCGAAAAGAAATCTGATTTTATTTGGACTCAAAACGATGAAGATGTTACGATTCATTTCAACATTCCGCATGATACGAGCAAACAAGAGATTACCGTGATTTCCAACGGCGAAAATCTCCAAGTTCGTCTTAGGAACGAATCACTTTTGAATGGCGAACTATTTCAAGCGGTGGATAAAGATTTAACAACATGGAATTTGGTAAAATGCTGCAGACATTTTATTGTATTTCATAAATTTGACTGTAATTTTTTAATACATACAGGGAAATGAGTCATTGCAAGTGGTTTTGGTGAAACAAGTGTCTTCTTTCACTTGGCCAAGTTTGTTAAAAGATGTCATTATTCCTCCATCTGAAATGCCACTTCAACCAATTCGAGAGCTATCGCTGCCGCCATCGAATTTACGAACTGAAATGGAGGACTGTGATTTTGGTGACGTCGAAATGGATAAGGAACATTCTTTTGGTATGGACGATATTTCGATCCTTTATAAAATTCAAAATTAAATTGAAATCATGTTGTTTTTCAGTTCGTATGGATGCAATAACCCATCAAATTACACACAAAGCCAATTTGGGTTCGAATAATCCAGTTTTATTTACATTATGTCTTCGAGCCGGCAGTCCACTTGCACTTGCTTTACGAAATGATGTCGATGCTTGTGTTTGGCTTCCATACATTCAATCCAATACTGAAAATGAACTGACGATGAATATAAAACATGAAGGAACTTTGAATGCGTTTGGCTATATTCAAGCGTCAAAGCAACAAAAGAAATTCATGCAATGTTCGCCAGACATGAATTACGCAATTATCTGTGAACCACATCGTCATATATTCGTATACAAAAGTACATATGCGTCGGCTGCCGGACTAAAAAATCGAAATAGTTCAACGAAAATTAGCATCGGACAACAGAAACTCATTACAATGGACGAATCGGATGAAGTGTTGGGCATTGTTTGCCAAAACGAAACAACCATTTTATTAACACAAAAACATGTTTTATGCTTACAAATCAATTCATAAATAAAACCTTCTTCTATTTTTTTTCAATTGCACATGTATTCTCCTTTCAACAAACACGATTCGTAACATAAATTATAACAGAAACTGGGATAAAAATTAACACACTTCACGGCATGCATCGATGACTTTTGGGTATTTGTATTGGTAACCGAGTTCCAATGTGCGTTTTGGATGGATCTTGGCACCGGTCAACAGTAAAGCAGCACGTTCCTTGCCAAACAGCTGCTGAATCACAAATGCGGGGGTCGTGAAAAATGTTGGACGACGCATCGCAGCACCAAATGCCTGGAAAAAAGAAATAATTAAAAATGCTTTCAATAGAAATTTGTCGTTCAAATGTAATGTTTACCTTGGTAAAGTCACCATTGGTGATAATGTCTGGTGCCACGCCATTCAAAACCCCATTGACTTTCTCGGTTTCAATTGAATATTTGATCATTTGACACAAATCTTCGATATGTATCCATGGTAAGGGCTGTGTTCCATCGCCGATTTTACCACCAAAGCCGAACCAAAACGGTAATTTCAATGACTTAATCATTCCACCATTGCTACCAATTACTACGCCACTCCGAATTCGAACCTTGAAATGAAAGCAATATTTCATTTTTAGAAAATTCATAATTTTTTACAATTTTCATGTCTCACCAATCGTGTTGTTTCATTCGCTGGAAGCTCGGCTGCTTTCTCCCAATTTAAGCACAAATTCGACATATAATCAAAATCCTCGCCTTTATCGTCTTCGTTATAAATTTTGCTATCGGATGGTCGATACAAGCTTACACCGCTGACGCTAATGAAAATGTTTGGTTTAGTTTTGGCATTTGTAATGGCACGCACAAATGATGTTGTTGTATTAATGCGTGAATTCCAAACATTTTGCTGAAAGCCAGACGTCCATCGTCGGCTCGGATCGAGTACATTTTGGCCAGCAACATTGACCGCTGCAATTGTATCGTTTGGTAAACCTTTTTCGTTCAACTCATGCCATGTAATTCGATCGTATCCCGGCATACGTGATACAGTCAACACATTGTATCCGGACTTCTTCAGTAAATTCGAAAGATGAGTTCCAATAAACCCAGTGCCACCGCCTGAATAAAAATAAAAACAATTATGTAATGTACATCAAAATCTCATTCAAAACATCACTTTTCATTGATGTGAACCAAACTGAATTTACCAATTACAACTGATTTTGCTGACATGTTCAATTTTTCCAATATCTCCTGTTCCAAAAACTGCTCTCCGAATAATTTGCAATTTTTTATGCTGTCGTCACTTTTTTCAAATCAATTTCGACTTATTTATAAACGAAAAAAAATAAACAAACAAAAAGCATATGACAGTTTGCATAGCATATTGTTCGATGTGAAGTTCGTGCGGTTGGTGTATGTGTAAGTAAATGCTATGAAAAATGAGCGGGTTTACGAATCACTCGGTTTGAATGTCACTTTTACTTGGTGTCGGACGAGTTTTGCGAAACGGTATTTTGATCTAATATCAAGTCGAGCTTGCATCGAAGCAAAATTCAATGAAAATAACAGGTTGAAAGTGTCATATTACTGTTTTTATTCGTGTTTGTTTACGCAAAGTGGTCATCGTGTTTGAAGCAGCATTACATGAAATTTGTTCATAGACAGATTCACATTACAACTGTCATATTATCAACAATACAACATCAGAAAAGTAAGTACAATTCGTTTTTTTTGAAAAGTCAACAACATTTTTGAAAAAATAATATTGAACAGTGAAAATTGTTTAATTTTTCCCAATTGTTAGAAAGAATCACCAAATATTTGAACATAAATTGCATTGTTGCAAAAATGTCAACGCAATTCACTTTCGGTTGTGCCATTTGTGCCGATATTTTTGATGCCCAAAATAATGTGTGTGCCACTCGCTGTGGACATGTTTATCACGAAAGTTGTCTGCGAAAATGGCTACTGACTCAAACTCGTCAAGAAATTCCAAACACTTGTCCGAAATGTCGAACAACAATTCGAGGCGGCATTAGACTGTTTTTGCATCACATAATCGCACCCGAAATCATTGATAATTCTGATAATTCGGAAATCACTGAGGCTAAAGATGATGACGATGCAACAGATATCGATGACCCACCATTGTCGCCGTCTTCAACAGTTTCACAGACATCGTTGACTTCATCATTGTCAACGTTGTCAACGATTACGCAGAGATCAGACTCGTCATCCTCATCAATTTCATCGTTAGCTTGGTCGGACGTAGATATATTGGATATCCATCATGATCGTGATTTCTTCGATGTACGGGATATGAGGTAAGAATTAATGTCTAAACTTGAAATTAATCTTTCAATTTAATAACACGTCACTGTGACACCAATTTATTTCAGATTATCATTTATGAACGCTAGACCTGGCGGTCATATGAATTTCTTGCTTGAATTGGAGCGCCAATTGGACGAAACATTTGATGATCTTAATGATATCCGTACCTCGACTGATGTGTTATCATCAAATCTTCGTACAATTGAGAGAACCATCAACACTTGGGGGCCAAATCAAAACGAGAATTCTCAACGAAATTAGTCGTCACCAATTTTACTTACTCATCATTTTTTTCACATTCCATTTTTTCAACAAAAAAAGTGTGACTTCATAGTATTTCATTCCAAAGAAATGTCCAAATATGTATAGATAAATAATGAAAAACTTAGAAATAAGATAATTTATCTAAAATCCACAAAATGAATTAAAGTCAATTTGATGAAAAATTAAATAAATTTTCTTAAAAATGGTATAAAACATTGATTTGAGTGATTGCGCGTAAAACAACGCCCTCCAACTGTTCAACATGTAAATATGGTGACGCTTCGCACGCATTAGTATATGTATTGCGATCGATTGTATCCGGTACGAAACATAAAAATTTCAAACGAATGCGAAGATAATGCGGAGTCTTAACTAACACACATCGAATAGAATCCATCCGTACCGGTTGACTTTTCATTTCTTCTCGCACTAGTCATCACTTTGCGCATCAATACATTCACACTTTCCACACGCACACATTCAAAATAAAATAGAATACGTGAATTGAAAGATGGCTTCCCTCGTAGCTGGAACTCTGTGTCGGCAAGCACGTTCTATCGGTCGTCTGCATACGCTCAATCAGAACCATTTTGCAAGTCAATCAAGTTTAATTCAATTGTGTCTTCGTAACTTTGCCACTAAAAAAATGGGATTACCTCGTGTATTTTTCGACATGGCCATCGATAATGAGCCAGCTGGCCGTTTCATTGTCGAGGTAAGTGTATTTAAAAAAAAAACAACAACAAAAAAGAGGAAAAAAAATTCTTCAAAAAAAGTTATAATCGGTAGTTATCATCATATTGTGAGATATCAATTGCACAATCTCCGTTCAAATTGAAGAAAAAAAATCTTTACGGAAAAGAATATCAAGCAATCTTATTCATCAATCGCGTCTTGTGCGCAGAAAATCTATTTTACTGCAATGGGTGTAAAAGAAATGCCGGTTTTTAAATAATTTGATTATTCAGTCAATTCACTTTGATTCGATTTTTTAATTTTTTTTTGTCATTTTCAAACGATATTTCAATGAAACAAATCTAAATCGAAACGAGTTTTTAATATAAAAATAATCCATTTAAATCGAAGAAAAAAGCCGGCTACCACGTATATGCATTACTCAGCAAGTTTAATTCTTACATAAATTGATATTGCCTTCAATTTTCGGCACATATTTTTGCTAATCGCTTTGGAATTAATTCTTATTTTTTTTCATTCGGTTCAAGTCACAGAAGCTTTTAGCAATGTAAAAGAATTTGCAATGAAATAGACACATATAAAAAAGGTCGACAACGGATGCCGTCGTCTTTATGCTTTTTTTACTCCGTTTTGCTTTGCTTTACTTGTTCTCTGTTTGTGTCTCTGTTTCGCACACTCATCGGTCCATATGAAACAAAAAAAGTGAAACGAAATTGCCTGTGGAATTTTCCATGTAGTAATATTATAGCATCGTGTGTAATTGTGTGTGTGTGTGTGTCTTCACATTTTAGCGACGATGACGATTTTGTGTGCAAAGCAGCGCTGGCGTTCGAAAATTCATACTTCTCATTATAAACACCTTTTTTGTTCGTTCGTCGTCTCTGTCTCTCTCTTTCTCGCTTCCATTTCAATAATATAGTCACTGTAGAATTTTCTCGAATCACATTGCTTCCTTTGAATTCGCTCGCTTTCTTTCGATCTCTTTCAATTCCCTCATGTTGCGTACCGCAAACAACGCGCTCATCATCTTCAACCGTAGTACGAGAAACAATGTATCTCTCTTTCTATCGATGTACGTGTGTGTTTGTCGGCCGGTCGACAGAAACACTTTTTTTTCTATTCTCTTCGGCTATGGAAACCTATTTAAAATTAGACATTTAGAGATGAATCTGTTTCTGGCAACAATTTAATTAAATATATATATACATATTCAGTTTTTGGTTGACAAAATCGTCGTATTACCATCAATCACATGCCAAGCACAAACAAGTTAAAACTGTTGAAAAAAAAACATGTTATCTATATCGTTCTAAGTTCAAGTATAAATATACACGCGCCACACTTCTATACACATATACATAAAACGCTCTATCGCACTTTTATGGCAAAGAAAATAAACGACACGTTAACCACAATTTAGATTCGAAACAATCAACGATATTTTAACCGCTTTATAACACAATTATATAAACGGTTTTGCAGTGCAGAGAGTGAAGGAGAGAGCGAGAGAAAAGGCGGCAGAAAAAAACAATTACAATTACTTTTGTCAACTATGTGTATCGTGGCGATTTCATTGTTCACTTTACTATAGAAACCAATTTGACGCTCATACAATTTTCATGTGAAACACATGTATCACGTTTTATTTCCATTGCAAGTTTTATTTCAAAAAAACAAAGAGAGAAAAAACGTAAACGACAACATTTTTTCGATCGAATTTAAATTTTTATGAGTAAGCAATAACTTCGAGTGACACAAGCCCACGGAATTCATACCAAATTCATTTTTATCTTAAATGAAGCCATGTTTCATTCCGATATGTATAATTCAAAATCGTTAAAATCGAAAATAGAATTTATAGAATTTTTCGAGCATTAAATGAGTTCAATTTTCAATCTTCGATTTATTCAGAACTCTACAAAACATGTAATTAATTGCTTGTGCTCATTGAACCAATTTCTTTTTTATTCCACTTATTCATGCCCAATTATTCAGATGATTTTGCTTCTTTGTTCAAACTGAGCATTTTCAATAGACTGCCTCTTGTATTGCCCTCATTTTTTTCCCTACTTAGCTTTGTTTTTGTTATTCAAAAAGTAATTTTTATGCATAAAGTAAAAATAGAAACAATGGAAAATTCTTTCTTTGAACAAAGCGCCAATCCACCCCTCAATGTTTTTGCTATCAATTGAATCATCGGCGATGTATATTTATTTGTTTGCCATGCATTATGCAGTTACCAAAATAAAATCGTTGATTACCCAAAGCATTGTTTGTGCTTTTATACGTCGAATGGGAACCTTGTTGCGAGTTAATGGCTCTTTATTTCTCAGAATCATATACGGGAAGAGAGTCATTTGTCGCCAAAGAATACTTTCTTGTAATGAACCATAAATGAATCGTTCACGGTGGAGACACATATTCTTTTCTATGTTTTTCATAACGTCTGTTTATAGTCTTTTTTGCTTGATTTGCACAGTCACGCTTTTTTTGCGGTATGGTTCAATTGACATAGTCACCTTTATTCGATTCGAGTACTCGTTTCGATATATAAATACTGCGGCATGGGAATAAAAGCATATATTTGTTGTCATAGGGTTGTTGCGTGTCGGTCACATTTTTTACGCTATAATTTGGATTATATTGACTTTTAAATTAGTATAATATTATTCGATATGCAACTATCCGTCGCCCAATGTCCGTTTTGAAATAAATCTGATAGTGTAATAAAGTGATTAAGTTCGGCATCGATGTGATTAACAAATAGTAAATAGAAATGCCGAATTGTCTGAATATGTTTGTTTTCTATTGTACACGCGACTAGCGGTCATCTGTTGCCCGCTGTATTAATGAACAATTCTTTGGAGAAGTCTGTCTTTTCACCACTTTCTTAAGAATATTGATTGAAATTGTCTTGCATTTGATATTTAACATAACAACCAAAAAAAATATATTTATCGATAACAAACTTCAAGTGACTGCCACTTATTTATTGAAAAGCCTTTTAACCGATATAGAATACGTTATCGCCAACATTCAAGAAAGTTTTTTTTTTTGTTCTTCTCCTAAACAATGTTTCGTGTGAAAAAAAAGAACACGACGGGTCTCTTGACATTCTTTCGACTCTTACTCTTTTCGAGAAATGTGAATAATTTAATAAAAGATAGATTTAAGAGAAGTAGACTGAAAAGAGAGCCGACTATTTTGTCACAAACGATATGAGACAGAAATTCAATTTCATACTTTTAAATATTTATAGGCTCCATCCAGGGCTATATATTACTATAGTTCACAACGGTTATTTGCCATCATGAACATTTATTATTCTTTTAATCGACTCTGTTGAGCACCAACAAATGCGATCGATATTTTACCATTCGATTTTCATCGTGTATATGTGTGAAAAATCAATGTCCCACCACTGGGCCACCAGCGTACAGAGGCTGTCTCAATGATCTCTATTGATTTTCTCACTCTCAATTTTCATATAAGCAAAAGAAAAAAAAAAGAAACCATTCTCATAACGAAAAGAAAACATGCAACCGTTTGGCTTTATGTAACCCATATCCATATAGAATAATGCTGAAACCTGCAAACGTTGTTGCACGTTTAACATGCGTAGGTTTTCAATGTCGACAGTTTTTGCCATTTTGTATATACAAACTAAAAACGTGCCGAGAATGAATCATGCATTGATCTTCGCATTAAAGAATTATACCTATTTTTGGCCATTGGTTTGAGCACAACAATAAACAATGTGGATGTGTCACTGACATTCGGTCGATTTGCAATCCACTGACATATTCGCGTATTTTTGTTTTCGAATTCCCACCACTCCCCCAATTTTCCGCCTAATGATATGGCATGATAATCATTTGTTTGGCGGGCGACAGAAAAATTCCGCTGGGCGTAAAAAAACCGACTGTTCCGAACAAATCAAATCGATTGAGCTTATAAAATTTAATCGTGCTCAAAATCCTTCGATTTGATATGTTTATTATGGCCACAAAAGTGTACAGTGCGATAATAATCGATTTTCTTCGGGACTAAACAATGGTTGAATATTGCCCGTATTTATGGCATTTTTTATCAATATTTGATGCGATTGTAATCAAAGTTTGTACAAACAAACGTTCAATAAATAATTGAGTTCTCAAACCGAACTGCAAAACAAATGAAAAGTAAAACAAAAACGTCGTACATTCGATTCGAAATATATTATGAAATATGAATAAATTTGTAAATTCGAATAATCAATCAACATTTCACAAGCGCGGTAATTGTTTTTTCAATGGTCCTATAAATTATTGTCGTTTATATTGATTAGTACATCAACAAGCGAATCAATAATTGAACGCGATCATACTCACACATAATCACACTTAAAAGGGGTGGAAAAGATAATTTCTGAAAAACACTATTTTTTGCAATCGACCAAACGTTTTAATCCCCCTTATTATATCGTGCACACCACACATTTAATATTCATGATTGATTCATTGTACACCCCATTGTTGTTCTTAGTTGTTCTGTTTTGTTTTTACATTTCTTTTCTTTCCACTTTCATTTCACCCACTTTTAGCTCCGTCCCGATGTTGTACCAAAGACAAGCGAAAACTTCCGCGCTTTGTGCACTGGCGAAAAAGGTTTCGGATACAAGGGATCCACTTTCCACCGTGTCATTCCAAATTTCATGTGTCAAGCCGGTGATTTCACCAACCACAACGGCACTGGCGGCAAATCCATCTACGGTAACAAATTCGAAGATGAAAACTTCACCTTGAAGCATACCGGACCAGGTGTTTTGTCAATGGTAAGCAACACTTTTAATTATTATTATTATTTTGTCAAATTAACACGTGTTCAATCACAATTCGTCATCAATATTCATGCGTTAATTGGTTTTTATTGTTCGTTCACAGGCCAATGCTGGACCAAACACAAATGGTTCGCAATTCTTCATTACAACCGTGAAAACATCCTGGTTGGACAACCGTCACGTTGTTTTCGGTACCATCGTCGAGGGTATGGATGTGATCAAGAAGATTGAATCCTTTGGCAGCCAAAGTGGGAAACCAAAGAAGAGCATTTCAATCGCCGACTGCGGTCAACTCTCATAAGATGGGATAACTCTTTTTTTTTTATTAAAACAAACATTGAAACGTCAAAAAATACCTTGCTCTTTTCACATTTTGATGTTTTTTCTTTCTTTCTTTTCTTTAATGATTTAAATTACACAAAACACACATGTTCAAAATGTAACGCATTTCAATACAGATAAAGAAACGAAAACATTAGATTCTCTTGTAATTTGTTAGAGTTATACAATTGTATTTGCATCCAACAACTAATACTTGTGAAAAGCACATCTTCAAAATAACTACAATAAAAGATTATTCCATAGTAAACAAACGAAAATAAACTCTCAAACTTTAAATAAATTCCACATGGAATACAAAAAAAGAACAATGCGGGTTTTTTTCTTTCAATTCATTCAATTCGCTTTGATCAATTTAATTGAAGTGCAATTTGCTTGGAATTGTGAGACATTTCAATTGTCTTTCATTCGATATTCAAATTGTGTACTAAATATTTCAAGTAATTAATACAAATGGTCATTATCATAATTGAATTCAAACAACGGGACTTTTTGCCAAGCTAATTTGAAAACAGCTTTCATTAACTGACACCTTGCGATAATTGTGATGGATGGTCTTTTTTTGCAGCGATAATTTTTTTAAGTGCAGCAATTTACAAGCAGCAATTGATTTTCAATTCAATTTGTTTGGCATTCGAAATACAACAGAGAGATTACATAATATGAAGAACAGCCAAGATTTTCAGAAGTCGTTTCTGCTCTTCCGATATGTCACGAGCAAATTCATATTTCTGGTCGTGAAAAATGAAAATAAATTTAAATTTCAATTGGGGTTTGTTTTGGAATAACAAGATGAGACATAGGTCCCATGCAGAATCGAAAAAATTTGTCGTGTTTCCGTATCCACATATGCTTTCTCCTTTAACATCAATTAGTCATCGTTTATTGATTTGAGGCTTGAAACATTAGATCTACCTATATACAAAAGGATGACTCTTATTAAGCCATTCATTTCAATCTTATTTTGTCATATTTTATTTGAAAGTTCCAAAAATCTAATAGTAAATTAATTTAATCGTCAACTTCAGCATCGGCGTCT